ACTAGACTTAGATTGCAGACCTAAAGTTACAAGGGACATGTTCTATTATTATTATTATTATTATTATTATTAGAGACAGATTCACTCTGTCATCCACACTGGAGTACAGTGGTGCCATCTTGGCTCACTGGAACCTCCAGCTCCCAGGTTCAAGCGATTCTCCTGCCTGGGCCTACCCAAGTAGCTGGGATTGCAGGTGTGGGTCACCACACCCGGCTAATTGTTTTTTTTTGGTTTGTTTGTTTTTGGTTTTTTAATTTTTTTTACTAGAGACGAGATTTTACCATGTTGGCCAGGCTGGTCTGGAACTTCTGACCTCAGGTGATCTGCCCGCCTCCACCTCCCAAATTGTTGGTGAGCCACAGCACCCGGCCCATTCTCTTGTTTTATGGGAGGAAGGATGGACGACAGCAAAGAACAATCTGTACTGGTGGTCCTGTGGAGATGCCTGAGGCCCTTTGTCTTTCTGTGAGGGTCTGGCTAATGTGTAATGCTTTGACACTGGGTTGTGAAGCAACGACAGCAGTTGGGAAGCCAGAGAGCAGTTTGGGAAGCAGACAGCAGTGTTGCATGACTCAGTCTCCAGGCTTACCTTGGGCATAATGAATTTGGCAGCCCTGAGACTTTTATTTTCCTTTACATCCTACTAGCCAGCTTTGACTAGCAGTGTGATCCAGGGCCAATGACTGCCCCTCTGTGGCCTTGGCATTACCACCTAACCAATTGGGATATGGTACTCCATTTTCTTGCCATGGAGCATATCAAGAGTTAGGGCCTGTCTTCAACTGTCTCATGAGTTGAAGAATTTCCACCCTCTGCCTTTGCTCTGTAGCAATAGACAAATCGCTAGACCTTTCTGATTTCAGGTCCGATTTCTAGAAAGACTTTATGCTGTCTTTCCTACTCTAGAAAATCTTTCCTGGCCGGGCACAGTGCACACACCTGTAATCCCAGCACTTTGGGAAGCTGAGGCGGGAGGATCACTTGAGGTCGGGAGTTCTAGACCAGCCTGACCAACATGGAGAAACCCCATCTCTACTAAAAACACAAAATTAGCAGGGCGAAGTGGCACATGCCTGTAATCCCAGCTACTCGGGAGGCTGAGGCAGGAGAATCGCTTGAACCCGAGAGGCGGAGGTTGCAGTGAGCCGAGATGGCGCCATTGCACTCCAGCCTGGGCAACAAGAGCGAAACCCCTGGCCGGACGCGGTGGCTCACGCCTGTAATCCCAGCACTTTGGGAACCCGAAGCGGGCGGATCACGAAGTCAGGAGATTGAGACCATCCTGGCCAACACGGTGAAACCCCGTCTCTACTAAAAATACAAAAAAATTAGCCGGGCATGGCAGCGGGCGACTGTAGTCCCAGCTGCTGGGGAGGCTGAGTCAGGAGAATGGCGAGAACCTGGGAGGGGGAGCTTGCAGTGAGCCGAGATCGGGCCACTGCACTCCAGCCTGGGCGACAGAGCAAGACTCCATCTCAAAAAAAAAGGAAAAAAAAGCGAAACTCCGTCTCTAAATACATAAATAAATAAATAAATAAATAAATAAATAAATAAATAAAGTATGTGGCCTCAGCCTCCGCAGCCAGCCGGGATATGCTGAGCCACCTCCTGGAAATGTTGGAAACAATGGACAGAGTCAGTGATCATCCACCCAGTGTTGGCAGAGGCGGCTGGAGTACTTAAAGACTTTTCCACAGGACCACACACATGTTCATATCCTAAGGCCAGGAGGATGCTGAGTGTGAGACATGATGCTGCGTGAAGTAGAGCAGGCCCTTGAAGGTTTGTAGGAACTCAGGGCAAGGCTGGGAACTGGGCCCTGGTTCTTCGCTTTCTCCTGAGCCAGCTTCTTTAACCACAGTACTATATGTGTAGGCCACCCCCTGGTGGTCAATAAGGTAATGACAGTTTGCACTTAAGGATACAAGTGAGGACAAAATAGGTGAGCAACTTACCCTGGTTTGGAAGAAGTCTTGGGACTATCCAGTTTTAAAACTGAGAGGGAAAAAATAAGAACAAGGTAAGAAAATAGATGTCTTAGATTTGGCAAATCACCACCATCTGGCTGTTGACAAGGAGGAGAAAAGTTATTCCCTTTTATCGATGGGGCTACTGAGACCAGAGAGTAAACTCCCCATTCACAAAGTCCAGCGGGTGCAGAGTTAAAATAGATTACCCGCCTCCTGAGTTTCACTAAAAGGGGGAAGAAGACCAGCAGTTACCCAGGTGGCAAGTAAATCTTTCTCACTTTTTTTTTTTTTTTTTTGGAGACGGAGTTTTGCTCTTGTTGCCCAAGCTGGAGTGCATGGGCTGATCTCAGCACACTCACTGCAACCTCCGTCTCCCGGGGTTAGAACGCGATTCTCCTGCCTCAGCCTCCCGTGATAGCTGGGATTACAGGCATGCGCCCCCATGCCGGGCTAATTTGTATTTTAAGTAGAGACGGGGTTTCCTCCATGTTGATCAGGCTGGTCTCGAACTCCTGATCTCAGGTGATCCGCCCTCCTCAGACTCCAAAGTGCGGAGATTACAAGCCTGAACCACAGCACCTGGCAGATTGATCTTTATTGGCAACCTGGGGCAAAACAGGGAGAACCCTCCTAGGCCTCATGGGGGCGACAAAGACCAAAATATCAAATATGTCTCACCGGCCCTTAGAACCTGGGAGAAGTAGGTAGGACTATGTTTCCTCTAGCCTACAGAACACTCAAAGTTCAAAAGACTCGTTCAGCCTCACTAAAGAATCTTACCTAACTCACGACTAGAATTTGGAAGAAGAAGGCCCCTTGGTTTCCTCAAATTCAGCACTAACATTTCCACAGATAAGGAAACTGAGACCGAGAGGTTGAATAAATTATTGGCAGTAGGCCGGCGCGTGGCCTCACGCCTGTAATCCCCAGCACTTTGGAGCGCCGAAGTGGGGTGGATCAGGAGGTCAGGAGTTCGACACCCAGCCTGGCCAAGATGGTGGAACCCGTCTCTACTAAAAGTACCAAAAATTAGCTGGGTGTGGTGGCAGACACCTGTAATCCCAGCTACTCAGGAGGCTGAGTCAGGGAACTGCTTGAACCCGGGAGGCAGCAGGTTGCAGTGAGCTGAGATCACGCCACTGCACTCCAGCCTGGGTGACAGGGTGAGACTCTCTCTCAAAAAAAACAAACAAACAACAACAAAAAACAGAAATTATGGCGGGCTAGATATGGTAGCTCACATCTGTCAATCTGTCATCCCAGCACTTTTGGAAGGTCAACGTGGGAGGATTGGGCACTTTGGAGGGGTCAAGGTGGGAGGATTACTTGAGCCCAGGAGTTCAAGACCAGCCGGGCAACATGGTGAACCCTGTCTCTACAAAAAAATAAAAAACTTAGCGGGGTGTGATTGGCGTGAAACACTTGTAGTGCAAGTTACTCAGGGAGGCTGAGGTGGCAGGATCCCTTGAGCCCAGGAGGTCGAGGCTGTCAGGGAGGCGGTTGATTGTTGGCACTGCCACACCGAAGTGGGTGACAAAGCAAGACCCATTCGGAAAAAAAAAAAAAAGAAAAAGGAAAGAAGGAGAAAAAGATAGAAGGGGCCGGGCGCAGTGGCTCATACCTGTAATTGCCCCAGCACTTTGGGAGGCCGAGGCAGGGCGGATCACTTAGGGTCAGGAAATTCGAGGACCCATCCTGGACAACATGGTGAACCAAGTGTTCTCTACTACAAATACAAAAATTAGCCGGGCATGGTGGCAGGCACCTGTGTTCCCAGCTACTTGGGAGGCTGAGGCAGGAGAATCGCTTGAGCCCAAGAGGCGGAGGCTGCAGTGAGCCAAGATCACGCCACTGCACTCTGGCCCGGGCGACAGAGCGAGACTCTGTCTCAGAAAACAAACAAACCAAAAAATAAAAAAAGAAAAAGAAGATCGTTTGGGCCCATCTTGTATGTTTCCTGTCCCATTCCTACCATCATTTTCCCAAGGAGTCCTGGGAGATTGGTATCAGAAACCAACACCTGGGTGCTTAGTGTGCTCATTGCTACTGGGGTATCATGGCTTCTAAGCCCTTTCAGCCAACAGAGCAAGGAAATACTTACACCTATAGTCTTCTATGTATATGCTAGCCAGTGTAAATATACATATATAATTATTTCTAATAGTTGCCACATTGATAAAGTAAAAAACAAACAGGTGAAGTGCATATGAATAACATTTTTTTTAACCCACCCTATCTAAAATATTATTAAAACTTTTCACACATAATCAGTATAAAAATGACTGAGTTGTGTTACATTCATTTTCGTTGCACTAAATCTTGGATATCTAGTGTCTATTTTCCACTTACAGCATGTTTCAATTTGGCCTAATACAATTTCAAGCCACATGTGGCTAGTAACTTAACCATACTGGACAGACAAGTCTCCAGAAGTAGACAGGTAAACAAACAGGCAATTATAATGCAGGGTCATAAGTGCAATGACAGGTGCAAGAGGCCAGAAGGGCCACTTGACTCAGCAGGGGAGAGGAATAGAATTGGAAAGGTTTTCCAGTGTGACATCTGAGTTGTCTTGGAGAACACAAGAGAGTTAGCCAAGATGGGGAAGCGGGTATAAAAGCCAGAACTGAAAGAGCCTAAAGAACTGTCCATCTTTCAGGGCAACTGAGCACACACAATGGACCAAGCAGGGGACGATGCTGGTGGAGACATCCACAACTACCAGACTAAAGAACCTGGACTTGGCCGGACGCGGTGGCTCACGCCTGTAATCCCAGCACTTTGGGAGGCCGAGGCGGGTGGATCACCTGAGGTCAAGAGATCGAGACCATCCTGGCCAACATGGTGAAACCCTGTTTCTACTAAAAATACAAAAATTAGCCAGGCGTGGTGGCGGGCGCCTGTAGTCCCAGTTTTTCGGGAGGCTGAGGCGGGAGAATGGCGTGAACCCGGGAGGGGAGCTTGCAGAGAGCTGAGATTGCGCCACTGCACTCCAGCCTGGGCGACAGAGCGAGACTCCGTCTCAGACAGAACAAACAAACAAACACACAAACAAAAAGGATCTGTCTGTGTATGTTAAGCGGCTGAGTTGGGAGCTGAGAGACTAGGGAAGGGAGGAGGAGGCTGGCTGGTGCTGTGACCCACATGAGAAGGAATGAGTTCTGAGCTAGGGGACGAGGCTTTAGAGACGGAGACACCTTGAGAGTGATTATATGGGAATCCTCAGATCGCTCTCTCTCTCTCTTTTAATGCACGAGTGCCTGGTTTTAATTCCCTGATGAACTTCAGAGCTGCAGAAGAACTTCAGAGTGGGAAAATAATACTAGCAGCCGTTCCCAGGTGTCCCATATTGTCTGTGCAAAGGCATTATGCTTGGTCCTTTCATACATGATTTTATTTCATCACCCTGAGCGGTAACAGAATCATTCCTGTTTTACAAGTGACAATATGAAACTGACTAAGAGTTCACAGCTCTAGGGCACGCTGGTAGCGTTGGACTGAGACTACAGTCCTCCCGACATGCCAACATCCCTCAACCCAAGGAGATCCGTTTTCCGTTCCCGCCTTCGGAGGCCAGCGGCCCGCCCCACACTGCATCTCGCTCCTGACGGCCCGTCTAGCCGCCCCGCGTCTCTAGTGTTTTCCCTTCTTGCCCATCTACCCGCAGGCTTCCTCTCGTCTGCACTCTCACACTGGCCCCTCTACCCGCTCGCCTCTCTATGGTTCCCCCATCTCCCCAGGCCCAGCCGTCCGCCTTGTTAAAACTTCTCCTTCTCTAAGCTCCTCAGCATTGGAGCCAGCGGGTCCTAGGCGGGTTGGGTCGGCTATCCGGGCTGCCTCTCTGGTCCAGCCGAGAGGAAACGGCGGCCAGTGTGAGTGCTTTTAGGAAAGGCCCGGGCCGTGACTGGGGAGAGTCCCTGGGAAAAAGGAGCGCGTTTCGGGCCCTTTGCGAAAACGCTCCGGCTGGAAACACAAGGCTCCGAGAGGAAGGAGCCGCTCTCCGCTCTGACCCACCCCACCCCCTTCAGTAAGTGGGGACCCCTCCGCCCCCCAACTCCCCAAACGATCACGCTCCGCCGAGGGGCTTCCTGTCTCTCGTTCATTTTTGTTCTGACAGCGCTGGGAACCAACGGGGAGATCGGGACGTGCCCACCTCATCACACAGACGAAAACCTCAGGCGCCAGAATGGGGAGGAACTCGCTCAGAACCAGCCAGGAGCCAGCTGGGGCTCCCGACTCTCGGTTCTGGGAACCTCCGTGTTTTTCTGTTTGAAGATAGGCGGGGTAGGTAGCGACAAGAAGGGTCCTGAGAGAGGCGTGGAGGACCCCCACAATCCGGTTCCAAGCCGGAGTCCAGTCTTACCTCTCAGGATTCCCCCTTTCGTGTAGCAAAGCGGATGTGATTCTTTCCCTTAAAAGTCGTTAAACGTAGCTGTTCAGGTGGGTTTACCACGAAGCTAACAAAGCTTAAGCTTCCGAGGCTCCTCGCGGGCACGACCACTTCTCTACCTAGTGGGTGTCAACAATTCAAAGAATATTTAAGATTAGTCACTGCTCAAAAAAGTTTGCCATGCCTTGTAAACTTAAATTCATACCTGAAAGAAACGTGATTTTGATTTTCCCAAACTTGACCGTGCTAAATCTGCAACTGTCCTGAATCTGAAATAAAACTTGCTTAAACTGTAAATTGTTGTGGTATGAAATACAGATCGAAGGATGCAGGGAGGAAAGTGTTACAGAGCTGTGTAAGGCTGTAAATTAATAAAAATGTTTTGTATGCTTTATAATTGGAGGTTGCATATGGTAATTATCATCTTGTAAATGTCATTAGGTGGGATTTATTTTCTCATGCTAAATGTTCGCTTGCGTATCTTATTTTGTATTTTTAGCTTACTACTCTTGTTCTTAATTGGATAAGCTTTGCTTTCTGCAAAATCTGGACCTACCTCCCCTCACAGTCAGTGAGCGCTCAATATATATTAGCTATTATTGTTAATGTTATTGTTACTTTGCAGATCGAACAGGAAGGTTTGAGGAGGATCTCTGAGGATTACTATTGGCGTAGGACTTCAGACGGCCATTGTTACCAGCTACTTATTCATCTCTGTATTCATTTCACATTCAATACACTTATGTGTTGATTCACTAATTCAATTCGTGTGTACTGAATATCTGAATACTCCCAGACACTAGTATGGACGCCAGAGATATGGGAGGTGAAGATGTGAACATGGTGTCTACCTTCAGGGAACTTACAGTATCATGAGAATTGTCATGGAATTGATTTGAGGTTTTCAAAATTCAGATTACAAAAACAGTCTACAGGCTCCCACACCAACATTTTATTTTGAAAAATTTCAAATATATAGAAAAGTTGAAAGAATTGCATAGTGAACATCCATATACTTATCGTACCAGGTTTATAGTTTTTAAATAGCATCTACAGTTTGATCCTGAAAGGTCATCATGTTCAGCCAATTATTATTATTATTTTGAGATGGAGTCTTGCTCTGTCACCCAGGCTGGAGTGCAGTGGTGTGATCTCGGCTCGCTGCAACCTCCGCCTCCTGGGTTCAAGCGATTCTCCTGCCTCAGCCTCCTGAGTAGCTGAGATTACAGGCACCCACCACCATGCCTGGCTAATTTTTGTATTTTTAATAGAGACGGGGTTTCACCATACTGGTCAGGCTGGTCTCAAACTCCTGACCTCAGGTGATCCTCCTGCCTTGGCCTCCCAAAGTGCTGGGATCACAGGTGTGAGCCACTGTGCCCCGCCTCTTTGTAGTTTGTTTGAGACGGAGTCTCACTCTGTCGCCCAGGCTGGAGTGCAGTGGCCCAATTTTGGCTCACTGCAACCTCTACCTCCTGGGTTCAAGCAATTCTCCTGTCTCAGCCTCCCGAGTAGCTGGGATTACAGGCGTGTGCCACCACGTAGGCCTGACTAATTTATTTATTTGTTTGTTTACTTAGTTAGAGACAGGGTTTCACCATGTTGGCCACGCTGGTCTGGAACTCCTGACCTCAGGTGATCCACCCGCTTTGGCCTCTCAAAGTGCTGGGATTATAGGCGTGAGCCACCACGCCCGGCCTATTTAGTTAGTTTTGAGACAGGGTCTGGCTGCTCTGTTGCCCAAGCTGGATTGCAGTGGCACAGTCATGGCTCACTGCAGCCTCAACCTCCTGGGCTCAGGTAATCCTCCCACCTCAACCTGCTAAGTAGCTGCGACGACAGGCATGCACCACTACGCCGGGCTTTTTTTGCTTTTGTTTTTTGGTTTTGTTTGTTTTGTTTTTGGTAGAGATGGCTGTGGTGATGTGTTGCCCAGGCTGGTCTGGAACTCCTGGGTTCAAGGGATCCTCCTGCCTTTGCCTCCTAAAGTGCTAGAATTAGAGGCATGAGCCACTGAACCCCACCCAACTCACCCATTTAAAGTGTATAATTCAATAGTCAGTATATTCATAGTTGTGTGCAAATATCACGATGTCAACGTTAGAACACTTTCATCACCTCAAAGAGAGATCCCATGCCCTTTAGGTATCACTCCTCTATTCTTCCTTCCCTCTAACTCTCTATCCCTACCCACCCTAAGGAACCACAAAGCTACACTCTGCCGCTACAGATTACCCTATTCTGGTATTAATAGTCTTCTAATATGTGGTCCTTTGTGCCTGGCTTCTTTCACTTAATCTATTTTTAAATTTTATTTTATTGACACATAATATTTTACATAGTTTGGGGTACATGTGAGTATTTGTGACACGCATAGAATGTGTAATGATCAATCAAATCGGGCATTTGGGGTAACCACCATTCTTGAGTGTTCATCATTTCTATGTGTTGGGAACATTTCAAGTGCTCTCTTCTAGCTACTTTGCAATATACAGACTGGGCACAGTGGCTCACACCTGTAATCCCAGGACTTTGGGAGGCCAAGGCGGGTGGATCACGAGGTCAGGAGTTCTAGACCAGCCTGGCCAAGGTGGTGAAACCCTGTCTCTACTAAAAACACAAAAATTCGCCGGGCATGCTGGTGGGCACCTGTGATCCCACCTACTCAGGAGACTGAGGCAGGAGAATTGCTTGAACCCGGGAGGCGGAGGTTGCCGTGAACCGAGATCGCACCACTGCACTCCAGCCTGGGCAACAAGAGCAGAACTCCATCGCAAAAAAAAAAGTATGTCTTCTATGTAGCTGTATGTTGGTACCCATTAACCAACCTTCATTCGTCCCCGCTTCCACCACACACCCTTCCCAGCCTCTAAGTTAGCATAATGTTTTAAAGGTTCATCCATGTTGTCACACAGATCAGTATTTTACTCATTTATGGCCAAATAGTATTCCACTCTATGGATATACCACATGTTGTTTCTGGACATTTGGGTCGTTTCTGCTTTTTGGCTGTTATGAATAATACTGCTACAAGCATTTGTTTACAAGTTTTTGTGTGAACATACATTTCAGGCTTCTTGGGTACATAGAAAAATGAAAGGGAGAGGAATTGCAGAGCCATCTAGCTAACTCTATCAGCCAATTTCTTTTAAAAGGCAGGAAATCTAGGCTCCGTGAGGAGAAGTGAAGTGCTCAGGTTTTACAGGAAGGTAGAGATGGAAAGAAGCGAGGCAAATCTTCTGATTCCAAGTCCAAGACTCTTCCTGCCATTTTCTTTTTCTTTTTCGTTTTCTTTTCTTTTCTTTCTTTAAATGGAGTCTTGCTCTGTCTCCCAGGCTGGAGTGCAATGGTGCTATCTGGGCTCACTGCAACCTCCGCCTCCCCGGTTCAAGCGATTCTCCTGCCTCAACCTCCCGAGTAGCTGGGATTGCAGGCGCCCTCCACCACGCCCCACTAAAATCTTCCTGCAATTTTCTAATGGCTCCGTGTAGCAAGTCTTCTGGCCTCAAGTCATGCAATAGTCTGTTAGTGTTCTGCTAGGCACTGAGGGACTCAGAAACCAGACAACAGACGAAAAGGCAAGGAACCCAGATTTGTTTTTAAATTTTAAAATTTTATATTTATTTTATGTTTAGTTTTTGAGACAGGATCTTACTTTGTCACCCAGGCCAGAGTGCAGTGGCGTGATCTTGGCTCACTGCAGCCTCAACTTCCCAAGTTCAAGCAATCCTCCTGCCTCAGCTCCCCAAGTTGCTGGGACTACAGGCACGCTCCACTGTGCACGTTAATTTTTGTATTTTTAGTAGAGACGGGGCCACTATGCTCAGCCAGAACCCACATTTATTGAGCACCAGTTGGTTCCAGGCATCACATAGACCTTCAGCATTCTCAATTGGTGGCATTCTAACTACAACCCTGCCAAACGGCATTATGGTGCCCACTTTGTAGATGTCAGCTAGACACTTAGAGGGGACGTTGCTTGCCCAGAGTTGCACAGCAAGTGGACAAATGGATCTGGACCCAGGTTTGCCTGATTTGAAAGCTTATGGTAATTCCACTAAACAGTGCTCTCCTCTGTGAATATTTAATAGCTTTAGCGGGGTTAGGGAGAAAAAAAGGGAAAAAAAATACTCAATAGCCTTAAGCTCTGGTACAAAATTCTTCCACCTGCATGAATTCAATTTCTCACTCGTTCATTCACCAAACACTCACTGAGGCATATACGTGCCTTCTCTATAGGGATGCAGAGATGACATACTTCCAGCTCCCAAAAAAGGGAAACTGGGGGATGAGTTCTGTGTGCTATAAATGATCTCTTTTAATAACGAGCTTCTCAGTAAGAAATAGACCAGGCGCAGTGGCTCACGCCTGTAATCCCAGCACTTCGGGAGGTTGAGGTGAGGCAGGCGGATCACAAGGTCAGGAGATCGAGACCATCCTGGCTAACACGATGAACCCCCGTCTCTACCAAAAATACAGAAAAGCCAGGCGTGGTGGTGGGCGCCTGTAGTCCCAGCTACTCGGGAAGCTGAAGCAGGAGATTTGCTTGAATCAGGGAGGCGGAGGTTGCAGTGAGCTGGGATCACGCCACTGCACTCCAGCCTGGGCTGTTTCTCAAAAAAAAAGAAAAGAAATGAAATGAAATGATTTCACACCAAGAGATTACTGAACATTTTAAAGTTTGACTATCAGATATTGATAAGAATGTTAAGCAACAGAGGTCCCTATTTATTGCTAGTGGGAGTGCCAAATGGTAGTAATTATTATAGCTAACTCATAGCACCTACTGTGTGCCATACATTGTCCAAAATACTTTACATATAATGACTTCTTTAATCATCATAGCAACTGTGTGAAGTAGGTTTTATTATCATCCTCATTTTGCAAATTAGGAAACCTGGACAGAAAGGGCTGACTTATGCATTCAACACAGTAGCAGATACAGTGCCTAGGGCCCATGATACTCTTAGCGACCCACAACATTTAAACATTTATTTTAGGCTGGGCGCGGTGGCTCACGCCTGTAGTCCCAGCACTTTGGGAGGCTGAGGTGGGCAGATCACCTGAGGTCAGGAGTTCGAGACCAGCCTGGCCAACATGGTGAGACCCTGTCTCTACTAAAAATACAAAAATTAGCCGGGCGTGGTGGCACATGCCTGTAGTCCCACCTTCTCACGAGGCTGAGGCAGGACAATCACTTGAGCCCTGATTTATATATATATAAATCAAAAGAAAAGAAAGGGGAATATAGCTTTGGAAGACCAGGCAGAAGGATCGCTTAAGGCTAGGAGTTCAAGACCAGCCTGGGCAAGGTAAGACAGCAAGACCCCCATCTCTATAAAATAAGAAGAAAAAAGAAGGAGGAGGAGGAGGAGATAATTCAGCCTAAGTGGTGTTTATTTTTATTTTACACCACTATATCACAAAATATAATTTCATATATATTTATAAATGAAAGGATCATGATTAGGATCATGTTTAAGTATCTCCTATCCTGCCCTTTCAAGAAAACTACTTAAAGATGTTTCCAAACTCTTCCATATCTCTTCTCAGTGGTTTGTCACAATGCTTCTACAGTTCCATACAGAAGAAAGAAAAATGGTCCAGAGAAGTGTAGTGACTTATCCAAGGTGACACCTCCAGGAATGACTAAACTGGGCAGCTAAGAAGAGCCCTGTCTTTGGTGCTGCCGAAAACCCCGCGTCTTTGAGGTCCTTCCTCCCAAACATAACATCAGCTTGCGGGTTTTTGCGTCCTCCCAGGA